GCTGCACCAGAGCAGCCGCTCCACCAGAGCAGCTCCACCAGAGCAGCCGCTGCACCAGAGCAGCAGCTCTGAGCAGCAGCTCCGCCAGAGCAGCAGCAGCTCCACCAGAGCAGCAGCTCTGAGCAGCAGCTCCACCAGAGCACCCGGGGCTCTGAAGGCTCCTGATCCTCTGTCTGAACAGCTGGCTCCAGTTCAGCCTCTAAGGTCCAGCTAAAGCGTTTCCCTCTGGCTCCTGTGTGGAGCCGACTGGACCGCTTAAGCCGGGCCTCCTGTCTGTCCCTGGAAAAGCTCCTCCATGTACACAGCTGGAGGGAGCGAGAGGCTCCGGGTGTGTTCTGCTCCGTCTCTGAGCCATAACGCTGTTTTCTTCCAGGTGGAGGAAGGGTCGGCTAAGCCTGGCAGAGATTTCACTCACAGCACTGCGGGGCTGATCCAGTTCGACCCAGGTGGGACTCTGCCCTCTGCCGGGGTGTCAACAGGCCTACAGGTGCAGACGCTCTTCCAGCTGACTGCTCAGACTCTTTTGTCCTGTTGGGTCAGGTGTGAATGTCAAAATCTGGAACGTTTACCCCACCGATGACGGCCTGGAGGAGAACCACGAGACCTTCACGGTCACCCTGAAAAGCCCTCAAAACGCCATCCTGGGACAGCGGACGTCAGCCACTGTGGAGATCATGGACCCCAGACGAGGTGTCTCCTGAGCAGAGCTGATCTGTGGCTGGATCACACTCCAGAAACCTTTGATTTTCTGACGAGTCCTGTCAGGTTCAGCTTCTGTGGCTCAGAAACCCGACTCTGCTTTGTCTCCGTCTGTCAGGGAGGTGTGACCCAGAGGCAGAGCGGCCACCTCCTCCCTCCGCCGCCCCCCCCCAGCCCCCCCAGCCTGAAGAAGACCCCGTCACCGACATCGAGGCTGAGCTGCTGTGGGAGAACCCGCCTCATCCCCCCAGAGGAGACGTCCCAAACCGCCAGCCCAACATGGACTATGAGGACGTGGAGCCACAGGACCAGGCGGAGCCACAGGACCAGGCGGAGCCACAGGACCAGGCGGAGCCACAGGACCAGGCGGCGCCCGGCAGCGCCCACGCCCACGGGCACGCCCACGGGCACGCCCACGGGCACGCCCACGGGCACGGTGGGCGTCTGCCAGATGCCGGCGCTGGCAGCAGAGGGCAAAAGGTGAAGATGCCACTGCTGACCGAACACTTTCGTATTAAAGCTCTAGCAGAAACCAATCAGGATGCAGCTTCTGAGTGAGGAACCGAGTTTAGTCACAAACTCTGGTTTGTGCCCTAAGAAGGCTCTGTAGAACCCATGCAGAAGTCCAAAGTCAGTTTGTTCTCTGAGGAGAACCTCCTCTGAGGGCGTCTGGTGGCTGCTTCCACCACAGCAAAGGGGGGGGGGGGGGCAATAGAGAGAGGGGGACTGTCAGCTTTGGGTAGAGCAGGTTTAGCCCCTTCTTTGAGTTTGTTGAGAGGAGGGTGGTGGGTCCAGCTCATTCCAGAGCTCAGTTTGTGACTCTGTGCAGGTCCTGCTGCCAGCAGGGAGACGGGCCCAGGACCAAGTCTGGACGGTAAGTCTGTCCACAGGTGGACTGCAGCCAGAGGAGGAGCTGAGTTAAGGCCTGCTCCTCCTGCTGCCCCTCAGTTCCACAGCCTGACTGCTCTCCGGCTGGAGGAGCTGCAGCCGGGGGCCACAGGGGGGAGCCGGCTCCCGGAGGAGCAGCCAGCTGGAGATGCCCACCAGGTGGATGGTCCAGCAGCCCCAAAGCAGCCGGAGCTCCAGCAGCACAAGGTGCTCCCTCTGGACCCAGACGCTGCGTCTCACAGGCCCTAGGCCGTCCCTCTGATGGGGGTCGTTTCTAGCCCTCAGTGTTTGTGTCCTCAGGCGGGCCGGTCGGCCAGCGGCTCCTGTCCGGACGGCTGGACTCTCCACAGGAGAAGCTGCTACATGGTCAGCTCGTCCGTGGCCAGCTGGGCCAGCGCCGACAGAACCTGCTCTGTGCTGTACGGAAGCCTTTTCATTTGATCTCCTCAGCGTTCAGCTCAGGTTTCCCCAAACTCTCCGAAAGCATTGACACGGTGGGCATTCAGGCATGTCCGTGAGTAAAGAGGAGGTCCAGGAAAGAGGAAAGTTTCTGTGGGGGACCCTGCAGGCCCTCAGCCTGACTCTGTGAACAGACCCCACCGGGCTGGTCCGAGGTTTGTCAGGAATGGAACTCCAGGCAGGACTAAGGTGCAGAGATCTTTGGCAAAAAACTTTAATTTAACCAAGAGCGCACTCGCAAAGAGTGGAAGACAAGGAAAAGTACAAAAACGAGGCAGACAAAGCTATGGACACACTATCAAATAATAATCCCTCAAATGAGGCAGAAAAAAGCTATGGACAAAGTACTAAATAAACTCACTCTGAAAAGAAGATCAAAAGCTACAAAGTAAGACATCAAAATCACTATTACGAGGCACAGGGGAGTGCAAGAGATCTGAAACAAGGGGGTGTACCTTTCAAAATAAAACAGGAAATGACAGGGCAACCATGGAGACAGGACAAAACATTAAATTTCCCCCAGACGTGACCAGTGGGAGTTCAGTGATTTCTGGGTGATGTTGTGGATTTTGGCTCGTGTTCTGTTTGGCCCATATGAGCTCATCCTGTAGTTCTGGCATTTGTGGGATCCCTGTTTGTGTATTGGTAGGTTGTTTTGTTTCCTCGGTTCCCCTCCAGGCAGGTCCTCAGGTCTCCTCACCCAGCCACCACTCAGTAGTCCCCTGTTTAAGCCCCAGGCCAGACGTTGGGCGGTAGTTTTTCCTGTTTGTGTCTCCTGGGGGTCTGCTCTTCAGTCTTTGCTTGGTTTATTTGATGGTACTCCTGGCTCCGTCGTGCCTGTTGTTGAACGAATCCAGTTCACCCTCTACCTTTTGCTTGTGAGTCTGGAGTTTTGGGCCATTCATCCTCCACAAACCGTGACAGCAGGATCTGGCCACCGTGGACTCAGCAGACTCCCTTCAGAACTGGGAGCTATGCTGGGAGCGAGCAGCCCAGCAAACCCAGTAGGGCAGACAGGAGGATGGAGCTGCTCTGGTTTGCTCTGAAAGGTTTCAGACGGACAGAAAATGACCCTTTTCTGCTGCTGTACCAAACACAAAGCAGGCTGCGGCCGAGATTCTGGCCCGGCTGGGTTCTGGGTCTGAAGGTGGGTTGGTGGTGCTAATGTTTGCTCCGTTCTCTGCGTCAGGTTCAACAGCAGCCTGAGCAGCGTGCACTCCCGAAAACACCTGAGCTGGCTGTGGCGGCTCACAGGGAGGAAGCCCTTCTGGATCGGTGGGTCATTAGAGATGTGGTCCTGTGGTCTGACTCACGCCACAGTTCCTGTTTCAGGCACTGACCACCCACAGTCCTGTTTGTGTCCCAGCGTTTTGAGTTTGACTGCTGATATGGATGAATAAAGCTAAAGCTAAAGTTAAGATCTCTGATGGAATGCAAAAGTCACTAAGACCTCCATTAAAAACTAAACTGTGTTTCTTCGCCCTCTGATTTTTGTCTTAATCCCTTATTAGATTCGAGAGAAATAAAGTAGTTCAGTTCTTAAATGTATAATGTCAGGATAAACTAAAACCATCTATTCCTCAGCAGGTGTCTCATTATTGTTGTCTTTATCTTTAGATCCATCTGTTCTCAGTCCTAAACATGAATAGCTGCTTAACTATTAGCCAAACCCACAGATCCTTTTATGGAATGAAGCCCCTTTTTTAGCGTGTTGCTCTCCTCCCTGCAGGTTCGGACAGCTGGACGTGGGGTGCTGGTCACTCTTCCTTCAACCAGAGCGCTCCACCGGCAGGCCAGTCCGATGTGGGTTCAGAGTGCGTTCTGGTTACAAACTCCCAGAGCTGGAGCCCCACCAGCTGCTCGTCTGAGACTCAGCACGCATTCATCTGCTGGCTGCCGGCTCAGACCCACTGAGGCTGCCCACACGCCCGGGAGTCCCACCTAAGACCTCTGTACATGCTTTTTCCAACTTTATAATAAACGTGCTGCACAAACTTGACCACATAATTTTCTGTTGTTAGACGCTGTGTCCTCAAAAATGATATCTAACATAAGGCCAGGGCTAAAAACACATAGAAGACATTTTTAAACTGATTCACGATGACTTTACTGGGAAATCCCTGAGAGACGCATTTCTTTTGAAAGTTGGACCCAGCCAAACGGCACAAAATGTTAAGCTCCAGAGTAGCCGGACCCCCTCGTGGAAACATTCAAGAATCCCTGCAGACCCAATCTCCCTGTATAATTAGTGGTAAACGTTTATCCCAAGTTGCAGTTTGGATTTTCCTGTGAAATGTGAGGAAAACCGCAGCTAGTCCTGGGGATGGCCAGTCCCCCAGTCTGGTTTTGCTCCTGACGAAGGCTGTTCCTGGCTTTGGTTCCGGTGGAGGTTTCTTCCTGGTCTTGGTTCTGTTTGAGGATGGGATCAGAGAGATGTTTCAGACCATTCTGCTGCTTTCTTTAGGGAGGACACATTTAGTAAACTGTATAATGATTGTATAATAACACAAGAAAATGAGAAGATGTAACTTACTATGTTATCATCCGCAATCAGGGATGCTTGATAAAGGATTTCCATATTCACACTGCAGCCCTCAGCTGAGGTCAGACCTCAGGATGAACCCTTCCGGGTCGGAAGTGACCTATGCAGCCCAACGAAGGGACACATCTTTTTTAATGTTGTATAATTAAAAAACTCTAAGTATTCTGGAAAGACATGAACATCATTTGAGTTTGTGCGTTTTAAAACATAAAAAGAGGGTGGCAGCGACTAGCATCCCCGCAAAAACAAAGCGAACAAGGAATAAAAACAAGGCGTACGTACGTCACTTCCGGTGGAAGTAGCTAGGGTGCTAGCAATCTTAGCGTGCCTTTTGTTAGGACCCCGTTGCTTCCTGTTTTTTGTATGCTTTCAGCAACAATGTCTTGTGTCCAGCCTCTGAGAGAGTTCATCAGCCGGCGGCTCGCTGCTGCCGCCACAGAAATCTGCGCGGAGTTAGAAAAAACCCTCATCCGGTACGAGGACCAGATCGATCGCCAGCGCAGACTGCTGGAACTCACCTGGAAACCTCAACTAAACCTTCATACCATCGGTATGTGACAGTATACGCAGAGCCGGGCCCGCATTCTGTCTAAACGGGGTTTGATAACTGTAAAAAGGCCCTTCGTGTTCTGTGGTCGTATGTCCAGTTCATCAAAGTGAGCCGGACTTTCGGACAACTCGAGCCTGTGATTGTTGTGGCTGGTTCACACTGACATTCCTGGAATGTAGCATCTGTCCTCATTCTAAGCTGTTTGTGTCCTGGTGTCCTTTCAGAACTTCTACAGCATTATATCCGTAAGGACGAGGTTTTTGGTGGGTGTGAGCAGGAAAGGATCTCCTTTGTGGAGCAGGAATCTGTTCGGATTAAAGTGGAGCAGGATGACACCTGCAGCAGTCCGGAGAAGGAGCCGCTGGTAGTGAAGGAAGAGGTGGACCCCTTTGTGATTACCCCACTAGAGACGAGTCCACTCGGGGAACGGGACTCTAACAGAACCCACCTGGTGTGTGGGATCCCTCCTCTCGATGAAAGCCAAGACCATGAAGCAAGTGAGCATGACGGCTCAGAACCAACCACAACCGGAGAGCGAGCACTAACACATGACCATCACACAGTCAGAGGGGACAGTTATGGTCTGGATAGTTCTGTCATTTCAGATGATACTTTAGATAATGACACAGGTAAAAAGTCTGTCACGTGTGATGTCTGTGGAAAAGCTTTCACACAAAGGTACAATATGATGACGCATAGACGAATTCACACAGGCGAGAGGCCGTATCCCTGTAAAATATGCAGTAAACGTTTCATAAAACATGATAACTTGTTGGTCCACATGAGAATCCACACAGGTCATAAGCCATATTCTTGCAAAATATGTGGTAAAAGTTTCACTCAGCGTAGCAATTTGACTTTCCACACAAGAGTTCATGCAGGGGAGAAACCTTTTAAATGTAAGATATGTGGAAAGAGTTTCATCTCCAGTGGGCATTTGACTGTTCATATGAGAACCCACACGGGTGAGAGGCCCTATTCCTGTAACATCTGTGGGAAAGGTTTCACTCAGTGTGGGAGTCTGGCGTCGCACAGGAGGTCTCACACAGGGGAGAAGCCGTATCCCTGCAAGATCTGTGGAAAAAGTTTCACCAGAAGGGACGAGCTGGTGATCCACATTAGAATCCACACAGGTGAGAAGCCATATTCTTGTGAAATGTGTGGTAGAAGTTTTGCCAGGAGTTGTCATTTAACTGCCCACATAAGAACCCACTCGGGTGAGAAACCCTACTTCTGTACGACCTGTGGAAAACGCTTTGCGGAGAAACGTACTTTGTCTGCCCACATGAGAATCCACACAGGTGAGAGATCTTATTCCTGTAAAACATGTGGTAAAAATTTCATTGAAAATCGCAATTTGACTGCCCACATGAAAATTCACTCAGGGGACAAGCCCTATTCTTGTCACAGCTGTGGAAAATGTTTTTCCGAAAATCGTAATTTGACAGCACACATGAGAACTCACACGGGCGAGAGGCCATACTGTTGTAGAATATGTGGGAAGAGTTTCACCCAGAGTGGAAAACTGTCCATCCACATAAGAAATCATGCAGGTGAGAAGCCCTATTCTTGTCACATATGTGGGAAATGTTTCTCTGAAAATCGTTATTTGACTTGTCACATCAGGACTCACACAGGCGAGAGGCCATATGCCTGTAAAATATGTGGAAAAAGTTTCACCCAAAGTGGCAAACTGACTATTCACATGAAAAGCCACAGTGGTCAGCCCCCTCCTCCTAGTGAAGACCTGCAAGGTGTTAAAGACTCGACTCATTCAAATGCCTGTTAATGCCCTCAGATGGAAACTGTGTCCTTTCTCTAGATGTGAAATGACTTAATACTGAGATCATTTTCTCATTGTAAAGTTGGATGTTCTGTCTGCTTTTCATACCTGTTGTATTAAAATATTTCCCATTTTAAATGTTTTTGACACCAAGTGGTAGCCTTTTTGGGGACATGGTGGAAAAAAGTTTCAGTTTAATAACACTAAAGTCTGAAATGATCAATCTATGCTCTACTATGTGATATCTATTTAGGAGAGTAAAATAAATTTCACAAATATTATTTGCTTTCATTTATTTAAAATAAGAAACTGATTTTTATTGTTTTTAATCAACTGTCATTGACAATGACCACTCAATCATGGACTTCATTTGGATTTTTATTGTTTTTTTTTTTTAAGATTATACTAAGATAATAAATAAATTATGTAATTTCTCAAACAGGATTTGATGTAATGATTTTTTTTGTTACCAGGCAGATGTTATCATGTCCTATTTTTCGTTTAATGCACCATCAGTTCAGCACTAGCTGAAGTCTTCTTCACCTGTTCATGAATTTAAAAACACAGATGTCCAGAGTCTGTGAAGTCAGATTAAAACATTACATATGGTGACTTTGGTACCTGTTAAAAGGCCAGCAGCTGTTCCACCCTGTAGTCTTCTCCATTTAAAACCCGCCTCTCTGTAGTTTTCTCCATTTAAAACCCACCTCTCTGTAGTTTTCTCCATTTAAAACCCGTCTCTCTGTAGTTTTCTCCATTTAAAAACCACCTCTGTCATTTTCACTCGTTTGAGCCACCGGAAGTGTGCTTTTATTCTGAAAAGTGATAGCGGACGTGACGCTTTCTTCTTTAATTCGGGTCCGCGGAGCCGCCTGTCAGAGAACCGTACGGACCGAACCGACCTCTGTCCAATCCGTGCAGCATGGGGCCTACAGGTGAGTCCTCGCGGGGAGTTTAGTTTGCTGACGGAGCCGGTTCCGCTTAAATCAGCCGCACGTGCGACGGGTTACGTCCGTTAGCTGGAGCTAACGGACACCCAGCATGCTACATGCTAGCACCTGCGCCAGGTGATGTGAGCTCTGCGGGGCGGTGGGGGCTGTGGGGCCGCCGGGGCTGGGCCCCCGACAGGAGGCCGCCGGTGAGCGCCCACACCGGCCCCTCCCGGCAGGGGGGTCCGGTCCCGGCAGGGGGGTCCGGTCCCGGAGCTGGAGCACGCCGGCTAACGGAAAGCCCGGAATCAGTCATTTCCCATTGACCTGCACAAAGCCGGTCAGAGGGTAATGAATCATTTCAATTGGCCTGAATAGAAACTCCATGGAGTCGGTTTATGGAGTCTTTGTGAGTTTTATTCAAACTTAAATAGCAGGTCCAATCGCAGGAGTCCCATCTGAAAACGCCTCAAAGGTTCAGTCAAGCTGAAGCCGACCCGACCCTCTCTAGGGGGGGGGGGGGGTTCCTGGGGTTACCTGCGTCTGTTTTGGGCCTCCAGGTGAGGTGGTGTTCAGCAGCCCGGTGCCGGTCTGCTCTGAGAACCGGCTGCGCTGGGACCTGAGCCCGGAGCAGATCCAGCAGCTCTCAGAGGAGCTCATCTCCAACACCAAGAAGGTGTACGACTGCGTGGGCAGCCTGGAGCTGGACAGCGTGAGCCTGGACAACACCCTGAAGGCGCTGGCTGATGTGGAGGTGGAGTACACAGGTCAGTGCATCCGGACTCCAGGCAGGTGTCGGGAGGCTCCTGAACTGGGTCCAGTCCAGAGAAACGATGTTGTCCTGATGAAAGAAGGCCGCTCACGAGCCGAGTGTGGAGCCGAGGCTTTGGGGGGGATGCTGCAGAGTGTCTTAAAAGATAGAAGTCCTTAACAGGGACTATCACAAGGAGGGTGTTTGCTGCCTGGTGTTGGGTAATAATAATCATTATCTAAACAACATTAAAAGTGCAAAGAGTGGCTGGTTTCCCTCCAGGAGGGCTGGAGGAGAACATGAAATGTTTCAACTTTTGAAAGGAAAAAGGTGAGAGAACAGATTGACAGAAAAAAGCTAAAGTTGAGCCTAGATGTTGGAGCCATCTGGGACTGAGATACCAGTCCAGCAGTGGTTCTTGAAACCCGGCCAGCTTCCTCTGCCCGGCGGGCTGCTTTCCATCACTGTGGATGGACCTGACGGAGTCTGGCACCGTGGCTCTGGACGGGTCAGGTGAGAGCAGCTGGACCTGCTGCGGCTGTGGGGGGGGGGCAGAGCAGCAGCCGGGGGGCTTTCAGAGGGCAGGCTTTCCTCTGTGGACTGCTGGGGATCCGAACTCTGCTGGTTTTCTCTGGATCCCCAAAAGAACATGGTCAGCTGAAGTTAGTGAGCAGCTGCCAGGACAGAGCTCCCTCTGCTGGAGGACTTCAGGACTCTGAGCCCTGCTGCAGTCAGCCTGAAGCTAACCCCGTTAGCTGAAGCTAACCCCGTTAGCTGAAGCCCCCAGAGGTCCCTCAGCGGGTCAGACACCCGCAGCAGCTGGAGGGGGGCAGAGCGGAGGTCCAGCTGAGCTCGGACACTGCCCCGAGGCTCCAGGAGAGCTGCGGTTTTCAGGTCTCTGCTGTTTTCATGAGCCTTGAGCTGCGGCTCCTTTTACAGGGCTCTGATGTTTGTGTCCTTAGCCTCTCCTCGATGTGGATGTTTTTTCTCTTCCCATTTTTAGATGCCAGCATGAAGGGAGAAGTTTTATCTGCTCCTTAAGTCTGTTAAAGGGCATACGGCTTCAGGTGGAGGGAGATGTGTCACTACAGAGATGATGGACACCACACACGTGCTGTCTCATGGTTAGGGTGAGAGTCCTGGAGGTGGAGGCCCAGAGGGCCCGCCCGGCCGCTGCCCCCGTCAGCAGGACGCCAGCCTGGCCCCGTCAGCAGTTTGTGGACAAAGCAGCTGAACAAGCAGCTGCTTTGTCCACAGGCCTGGACACACAAAAAGCCCCAACCTGTTTGTCACATTCTGTCACCTCTGAACATAAAACTAAAGCTTTACACGCTGGAAGCTTTTCAATGGAATTTCCCGCATATCATAAAATAATGAACCAGACGTGGTTACAAAGAGGGGATGGCATGATGTGTGTGTGTGTGTGTGTGTGTGTATATTTCTGTAAATGTGGTAGAATGAGTTTCTGCTTTAGAGTTTGACCTCATCCCTGAATTCTTGTGAGTGGCTAATGGTTTAATTCCCCTCCTGAGCTGTAGAGGCTCTCTGGGGCTCCTGGCTCTGCTGCTTTAGATACGCTCTGTGATTTTTCTGTTCCAGGTTCAGGTTCCATGACAGGAGCCCGTGTTCAGGGCGGGGGGTCAGCTCTCTGGGCGGTGGGGGTCAGCTCTCTGGGCTGTGGGGGGGTCAGCTCTCTGGGCGGTGGGGGTCAGCTCTCTGGGCTGTGGTCTCCTGCAGGCGGCAGCAGATGAACGTTTCTCTGTGTGTCGGTCAGAGGGGGTCTGATCTGACTAACGCATCTGTGTGTGCTGTCCAGTCCAGAGGAACATGCTGGACTTCCCGCAGCACGTCTCTCCCTGTAAGGAGGTGCGGGCGGCCAGCACCGAGGCCGACAAGCGTCTGTCCGAGTTCGACGTGGAGATGAGCATGAGGGAGGACGTCTACCAGCGCATCGTCGCTCTGGAGGTAAGGGGGGCTCTTCTTCCCTCCCCCGTCCCACCTGCTGCTGCCCGCCTCAGCAGAAGCCCCCGGACAGCACGTTCCTCTGTAGGGAGGAGAATGAAGACCCCCCCCCACTGCTGTTTAACATCCCATGATCCAGGTCCAGTCTGGTAGAGCTGAAGCTCCTCAGCCTGGGTGATGTCATCATCTAAGGGTCCAATCAGAGCTGCTGGAATAGGGCTGTAGAACATGAAGCATGAAGCAGTTTAGGGCTCCGGTTACTGCCATCCCCCAGTCCATGCGGACGCTGTAGGTCCTCCCCACCGCATGGAGCCCCTTTAAGAGGGGTCTGAGGGAAACCCCAGAGTGGTGAGGGGTTAAAGCGCCCTCGCCAGCAGATTAAGGAAAAACTGGACCAGAAAACAGTTTAATGGTAAACTGAAACATCCGGGGATGTGTTCTGAAGAGGACCAGAGAGACTATTGAATTCATTCTGGTGCATTGGTTAGGAGGGGGAATCGGAGGCCTGGGGGGGGGGGGCGGGGGGATGCTCTTTGTCCGGCGGCTGCTGCTGGTGTGTGACTGGCTCTCCTCTGCTCCTGCAGAAGAAGATGGACTCTGAGCAGCTCTCTCCGGAGGCGAAGCGCTACATGGAGCGGCTCATCAAACTGGGGAGGAGGAACGGCCTCCACCTGCCCAAAGAGAACCAGGAGGTGGGGCTGCCTCTCACTGGGCTGGAGGCAGACGGCCTCATCTGCAGGGGATAAATGTCTCTGCTGTTACAGGAAATCAAGAACATCAAGAAGAAACTCAGCAACCTGAGCATCGACTTCAGCAAGAACCTGAATGAGGACACCACCAGCCTGTCCTTCTCCCGGGAGGAGCTGGGTGAGCCAGCGCTGAGCTCCAGCTGAAGAGGGGCTCCAGCTGC